AAAAGTAAAGAAGTTATGCTTCACCAATATTTATTATATATATGTAAAGTAGCAAACATGTATGACATACAAACTAGTAGATATATATATATGGGTATGCCCTCGTATTTTTTAACTAACAAGAATGCATGATTTAAAATATGTGGAAACTCTTATATAAATAAGTGACATACTGTTTGGATTCAAAGCCAGTTTGAACTTTATACAATTTCAAGTGCTCACTTTTTCTTTTGGTTTTGTGTTGAGAGAAGGCCATATTGCCATATGTTTTGTTGTGTGATGTAAGTTTTGCAGGGCCTTGAATAGAGTGAGTTGAGTCATCACACATGGTAGTATAGGATTGCCAGACTGTAAAAATATCATATTCTTGTATTGATTGGATATATTTGAGGGATTTTGTCTCAATTGTAATAGGATACAAAGCAGGCTGCTGTTGTTTATATGAATATAGTAGTATATCTTTAGTGTAGATTTATTTTCTTTGGTCTTGATTCCAGCAGTGATTGATCTGATACCCACTCAGTGAAGACTTAATAAAAAACTGCTGTGATGCTAACCTGATACTCAAGTGACAAAGACACTTTAAGGGGTCGCCAAGTTAGATCCGATGATAACTGCTATTCAGAGAATGTTTATTGGCAAAGTCATAAATATAAGATCGGATTATCCTGAACAGTCAAGTAACATAATATAACAGGAATTTATGAATCACATTTCGTTCAGCATACTTTTGTGAACATTTTCTGCATTATTGAGTTATATTGTGGTGTAGATATCAAAATACAGGAAAAAAATGAAGTGTAGGACCAGACCTAATGTTATCTCTTTATCCTGTGAAATACAATAGCAGTCATTCAGTTTTAGCAAAATAGCATCATCCTTCAAATGGAATTAATGTTTTTAGAGTATTATTAATTTGGTAGTTTTGTTAAAATATTTATAATTTTGTATTTATTCATTGTGTTATGAGAAGTATAAGCCTAAGCAGTTTGCTTTCACGTCTATATTTTAGTATTATTATACAAATAATTTAACACTGGGACCAAGTGAGAATTTTTTTTCTTTAGAAAAGCGTGAAACCTTTCTTAAGTTTTAGAAATAGTGAATTAGAATATGCGGTTGGACTTCTACACCTTTGAAATCCAATCTGTTTCCAGTCCTGTTTTTTTCTCCATTGATTATACATAAATGTTTTTTTAAATGATATATTGATTATGTAAACTGATGGTGATGATGCTGTTATATTGAGGCTCAGAATTGTCTGTAGAAAAAATGTTGATTGAATTTATAATTTTAAGCTGAAATTACTACTTTTTGACATTGACATTTATTGATGTTTAATAGTCATTTAATTTCATAGAGTGAAATTAACCATAAGTCAAATAATTGGCCTAAAGTAATACTCCTATATTGAAATTTGGAAATCAGTTCAGTCTTATTAAACAGTGGATTATAATAAAAAAGATGATCGATAATAATTTAAGTTTGTCATCTTAAGTTATGAAAAAAGAAAAGATCTATTTTTCCATTTTAAGAGGAGTAACTTTCACAATTCTATGAGCATGAATCAGTAACAGCTGAAGATCTGATCTTTGAATGTGGCAGAGTTGGAACCCTTTCAAAATAGAAACCTAGCCAATTTTCAAGAAAATCACAATGTTTCAGTTTTGAACTTTAATGTATTTGGAACATATGCAGCAGAACACTTTCTTCTTGCTGTCTCCTGCCAAACTAATTATGTATGCCACATTTAATTTTTCCTTATGTTTGGGAAGCTCAAGTATATGATAGAATAAAGAATTGCCTGATTCATGTTCACCACTTTTAATGGTAAGATCAAGATGAGAAGTATTTAAGATAAATTTTATAATTTTCACTCAAAGAAAATATATGCAAAAATGAAAATGTTTCATTCACTCAGCAGATATTTATTGAATACTTACTATATGCCAGGCTCTTTTACTATGCTCGTGTGTGAGTGATACAGTTGTGCACAGGACAGAGAACGTCCCTGTCCTCAGCTTATATTCCACTAGTGGTGGAGGGTGGGGTGGTGGGGATTTCAAATTCATAAATGACTTGTAGAAAATAAATGCCTAATAAGAATGGGATAGCTTAGCTGAAATTGGAATGATAAGTTTTGGGAGAAGTCTAAATGTATTTGGTCAATAGCCCCTAAAGTGGGAAGGGCTTGGCACATTCCTAGAACAGAAAGGTCAGGGTGAAAGGAGCATAGTGAATGTGGATGCTGGGAGCTGTAGTTAGAGAGGTATGCAGAAGCCCCATTAAGAAACCCTTTTAGACCATGAAAAGAATTTCAGTTTTCCTCTAATTATAATGAGGACTCTTTGGAGGATTTTAAATGGGAAAGTTTAATGACATGACTTATTGAAGAAAGATCACTCTGGTAATTATAAGGAGTATGACTTGTAAGATTAGGGCAGAAGTGGAAGCAGGAAGCCAGGTCTCCAGCTATTTCAGTATCTAGTCAAGAGATGGTGGCTAATATTATGGAGATGGAGTGGAGCCAGTGAAGAATGATTGGCCTGGGAGTGTGTTCTGTGGCACACTCATCACACTTGCATGTTTTCATTCTTAAGCATTTTGGAATTCTGAGAGTTAAATTCTTTGGAATATCTAGCTTAACGTGGACTGTTTAAGTCTTAAGAATGTCAAGTATTTCTAAAATTTTATTTTACTTTTTTTACATGTTTATTTTTGAGAGAGAGAGAGAGAGAGAAGGGGAAGGGCAGAGAGAGAGAGAGAATCCAAGCAGGTTCTGTGCTGACAGCAGGGCTTGAACCCCTGAACCGTGAGGTCATGACCTGAGCCGAAGTCAGACCCCCAACCAACTGAGCCACCCAGGCACCCCAAATATTAATAAAATTAAAAATGTATATATTTGGGAAGGACAGTGTAACTGCTTCAGCTTCCCTTTAATCTATGGTATAAAATACACTATGTCGGCCAAGAATTTAAGTTAGTAATTTCAGGTTCTGTGGATCAGTTCATGCCAGATTGCTCTGATTTCTCTTCTTTAAAGTTTATACTACATAAGGATATGGAAACAACTAAAAGGCTCTTTTAAAACATGTACTCAATAATTATTTTGTTATTTTTAATGAAAAGAATGAACATAATTGCCTCATGATATATTAAAATGTATCTGCTTTTAAAACTCTTTGGTTTTCATAAAATACCTCAGAATAAACCTAACCAAGGATACAAGAGATCTGTATGATGAAAACTATAGAAAATTTATGAAGGAAATTGAAGAAGACACAAAGAAATGGAAAAACATTCCATGCTCATGGATAGGAAGAATAAATATAGTTAAGATGTCATTACTACCCAAAGCTATTCAATGCAATTCCAATCAAAATTGCACCAGCATAGTTCTCAAAACTAGAACAAAGTATCCTAAAATTTGTATGGAACACAAAAGACCTCGAATAGCCAAAGTAATACTGAAAAATAAAACCAAAACGGGAGGTATCACCATCCCAGACTTTAGCCTCTACTACAAAGCTGTCATCATCAAGACAGTATGGTATTGGCACAAACAGACACAGAGACCAATGGAACAGAATCGAGAACTCAGAAGTAGACCCAAAATTATACAGCCAACTAGTCTTTGACAAAGCAGGAAAGAATATCCAATGGAAAAAAGACAGCCTTTTTAACAGATGGTGTTGGGAGAACTGGACAGCAACATGCAGAAGAATGAAACTAGATCATTTTCTCAAACCATACACAAAAATAAACTCAAAATGGATAAAAGATCTGAATGTGAGACAGGAAGCTATCAACACCCTAGAGGAGAAAGCAGGAAACAACCTCCTTGACCTCCACCGCAGCAACTTCTTGCTTGACACATCCCCAAAGCAAGGGAATCAAGAGCAAAAATAAATGATTGGGACCTCATCAAGATTAAAAGCTTCTGCACAGCCAAGGAAACAACCCAGAAAACTAACAGGCAACCAACAGAATGGGAAAAGATAGTTGCAAATGACATATCAGATAAAGGGTTAATATCCAGAATCTATAAGGAACTCACCAAACTCCACACGCGAAAAACAAACAACCCAGTGAAGAAATGGGCAGAAGATATGAACAGACACTTCTCCAAAGAGGACATCCAGATGGCCAACAAACATATGAAACGATGCTCAGCATCCCTCCTCATCAGGGAAATACAAATCAAAACCACACTGAGATACCACCTCACGCCAGTCAGAGTGGCTAAAATGAGCAAATCAGAGAACTCTAGATGCTGGCGAGGATGTGGAGAAACGGACACCCTCCTGCACTGTTGGTGGGAATGTAAACTGGTACAGCCCCTCTGGAAAACAGTGTGGAGGTTCCTCAGGAAACTAACAATAGAACTCCCCTAAGACCCAGCAATAGCACTGCTAGGAATTTACCCAAGGGATACAGAAATGCTGAGGCATAGGAGCACATGTACCCCAATGTTCATAGCAGCACTCTCCACAATAGCTAAAACATGGAAACAGACTAAGTATCCATCATCGGACGAATGGATCAAAAAGATGTGGTTTATCTATACCATGGAATACTACATGGCAATGAGAAAGAATGAAATCTGGCCATGTGTAGCAACATGGATGGACCTTGAGGGTGTTATGCTGAGTGAAATAAGTCAGGCAGAGAAGGACAAATATCATATGTTTGCACATATAGGAAGATTAAGAGGAACTTAACAGAGGAACAAGGGGAAGAAGAAGGGAAGAAATGGTGGGGGAAAGGGAGAGAGGCAAACAATGAGAGACTCTTGAATGCTGACAAAAACTGAGGACTGATGGATGTGGGGGGGAGGGAGGATGGGCATGGAGGAGGGCACTTGTGGGGATGAGCACTGGGTGTTATGTGGAAACTAATTTGACAATAAACTATTTGTAAAAAAAAAACAACAACAACAACAAAAAACAACTCTTTGGTTTTATTTAAGTAGCTTATTTCCCGGAATTTTTTTTTTCTAGTCACATTGTTCTGATGCTTGCAGACGACATGGCGTGCAACCCTAGAAATCCCAAACCCGCTACAGTGTTTAGTCACAAGAATATGGAACTAAATGTTTATGGAGATGATGTGGAAGTAGATTATAGAAGTTATGAGGTAACATTGTTTAATTTAGCAACATTTTTGAAATGTAGATATCATTCCTTTGAAGCCCTAAAATAATGGTAAAATAAAAGTCTTTTTCTTTAAGCTTTGTATGTAACTGTTACTGAAGCATTGATTAATTCTGTCTCTGGAGTTCATATTAAGGAACAACACAGGAGTAAAAGTAATACAGTATGAACATTTCATATATATATGTATATATATCTGGGATAGGACAATTTTATCTTAGCTCTTATGTTAGAGTATTTTAATGAGTTTTCATGTATCAACTTTTTTATGATAAATGTATTGTTCATTTTTCATATTTGACCTAAAATTTCAAGTTTTGTATTTTTAGTCAGTAAATTAATTTTGGAAACATTAAAATGATTAACAAAAACTCATCCACGTTTCCACTACTTAGAGGTAATCACTTTTAATATGCTTCCAGTGTTTTATGCATATATAATTAAAAATTGAAATGTAAATTTGAAAAATGGCATTATACTATATTTTTTTCCCTTTGAAACTTCATTTTAAATTTAATAGGTAGTAAATATGTTTAAAATTTGAAGTATGCCCTGAGGAAGTCTTCCTCAATAATCCTTCCCCTTTTACCAAGCCAACCAAAAGTAAGACACAAGTTTTGGTGTTCCCACACCTGTTTGAGCAATTTTAAAATATCAACTCTGTCTCCTGCCAGCCTGTCAGCTCCTTGAAAACTGGCCTGTTTGTGTATCTTATACTAGCAAGTTCTTATAGCCGTTTGAAAGCACTCAGAAATATTTGTTCAGTGATTAAATGTGCATGAATATTGGACTTTTTACTTGTTTATTTAGTCATCATAAAATATAAATCAAAAATTTATCTTCCTTGTTAGCCAACAAGAAGTATTATTAAAACTTTTAGCATTTTGCTATCTTCTGGGAAGAATGTAAACCAAACACATGCACACATATACATACACATATACATTTACATACTCATGACCTAGAGAAAGGTCAAACAAGAAAGCTGGATAGATTTTAAGCTTTTTAAATTTAGACCTGTTTAATATAGCTTCAAATAAGCTTTCAGTGAATTCTAGAGTACACAAACTTCAGGTTAGGAGATTTGGTTTAAAGTGTGATGAATTTTTTGCATGTTAAAGATACCCCTAACAAAATTAAAGTAACAAAGTGCATAAAAAAAATCTAAGATACATAATTTAGGGATTATTTATGGAACTATCATTATGGCTTTATTTTTATGGTTCATTATGGGCCTTTCTTTCATATCATTATGGCTTTATTTTTATGGTTCATTATGGGCCTTTCTTTCAAAGTTTATCTAGAATTCACTAGGTGGTTTTACAGATTAACTGCAATAGTTATAATGTTGCTAGATTCATTTACAAGTTTTTATTTTTTGTATCTTCCCTCTCAAAGAATTGCCTTTGAAAAAAGGTAAATAATTTTTACGTTTTGGGCAATATTTTGCATAACATTTAAAGTTTTAAATTTAACTGATTTTTCCACAAGGTAGTTTTATTAGCTGTTAGTATTTAATGGAAGCAAGTTAACTTTGAGGTATTTATTAAGTAAATGTATTTTAATTGAGTTATATTTATTTCTGTGTTTTATTTTCAGTTTATGGTGAGTAATTCATAGGGAAAGAAGGACGAATGTTTTTGAAAATTAAAAAAAAATTATCAAGTTTCCCTGAGTTCTATTTCATTTGATCTTTCTTTCTTTCTTTCTTTCTTTCTTTCTTTCTTTCTTTCTTTCTTTCTTTCTTTCTTCCTTCCTTTCTTTTCTTTCTTTCTTTCTTTCTTTCTTTCTTTCTTTCTTTCTTTCTTTCTTTCTTTCTTTCTCTTTTTCAGGTGACTGTGGAGAATTTTTTGCGGGTATTAACTGGCAGGATCCCACCTAGTACTCCTCGGTCAAAACGCCTTCTTTCTGATGATAGGAGCAATATTCTTATTTATATGACCGGTAATTTCAGAATTTAGATATTTAGTAATAGAATATATTGTAACTTTTCTCAAGAAGAAATCTTCATGGAAAGAAATTTAAACATTTGTTTTGTAGTTCTCTTTTCTTGTAGGACAACTTGAAATCATATTTGGAAACAGTATGATATACTGTCCCTCAGTTTATGATCTTTTTTTTTTTTTTTTACTATTACCCTGGTAAAAATTATTTATTACCTCTTACTTGGGAACCCTACTATAGCCTTCTTGTCTTCAGTTTTGTCTCCTGTTAATCATCCTACTAAAGCATTTAATTGAAATTGCAAATCTGTCCTTCCTTTGTGTAAAACTTTATAATGGTTTCCTGTTGATGGAGTCTCAAATTTTAGTGTGTATAAAGATTATTTGAATGCAAATACTCAGGTCTTTCCTGAAATTATGATTTAGTTTTGTCCAGTTTGAGCTTGGACTGCATGTATTCTGAGGGACCGCTGAAGTAGACAGGTTTTTCTACTTTGATGGCCCATGAGAAATACCTTTTAAAAATCTGCACGAAGGAGCTAGCCCTATAGGCATTCGTATAGGCATACTAATGATGGTGCTGATATATTCCTTACATTACAGCTAAAGAAACTGAGACATAGAAAGATTCAAGTTATTTGCCTAAGTTAACACAGTCACTAAGTGGCAAAGCCAGCATTTGAATCCAGACAGACTGGCTGTATCCATGTATTCTAAATGTCACAATCTTCTGGTCAGCTCTCATGGGACAGTGGTTGACAGTGGTAAAAAACTAGTTTATATGGGAGAATGACACTTCCTAGAAGTACCAGCATTCCAGGTATACACCGTGGATAGAACTACCATATTGTGGGGCCAGTTAGTTTTTGCAACCTGTTTCTCACCACAATATTTACCTGGTGTTCGAGAAACTATTTATTTATAGAAACTCACTTCTGACATAATAATGAAGCCAGTGCCAAAGTATAAATGTGCTTTTTATATGATAAAATGATAAGGACTTTTAAAGTTATTTTATCTACAATTTTTTGCACAGTCTGTCATTATTCTGTTTATAATTGGTATAATAGAAAAACGATTTTTTCGTTTTTACAGTACTTTTCATTTAAGAGTATAAAATAACAAATGCTATTAAAATACTGCCATGAATGAAGTAAATGCTTGTATCTGGATGTATGCAGTTTATATTTTAACAAATGCATGTATTTGATCATTTTAACTCTTCCTACAAGGACATGGTGGAAATGGTTTCTTGAAATTTCAAGATTCTGAAGAAATTACCAACATAGAACTTGCAGATGCTTTTGAGCAAATGTGGCAAAAAAGACGGTAATTAGCAGATGATTATTTTTCATAAGATAAAGTAATACCTAATTTTTTCCATGGTTTATAGATTTGTAGACCTTACTTTCTGAGATTTTAATTTATTTTAATAGTTTCTTCTAATCTTTTAGATTTATGTTTGTTACTTTGAATTGAATTATTTTTAAAAGAAACCTCAGTGTCATTAAAGAGTATAAAAAAAGTTAACCTTTTAAAATCAGCTGTCATATTTAGCATTGTTTTTGGAGGAAATTAGAATCCCACCAATCAAGTTCCCCGTTATATAGGGGGATTGTGAACGTATATTTATTTTCCAACTTCAGTCTATTGTTACTTTTTTGTACATTCTCTGACCTTCCACATGATAGCAGTACATTATTTCTTCTTTGGAAGAAAATGCTGAAATTGTGATTAATAAAGTATTTGTAACAACTCACATTAAGGATGATACGTTGTTAGTAATCCATGGTAAGTACTCCTCTAGTTGAAAATTGTCAATGAAAGTAAGAGAATATAAAGTAGCAGAAGTGCTTTTAATTTGATTACCTTCAATAAAAACTTACGACTTACCTTCTAAACACATGGCACAGACAGGAATATGATGCTTATTCTGCCTTCAGAGTACTTAAAATCTAATGTATGTACACAAGTGTGCTGCAAGCTAAATGTAGATGTTGAATTATATGCATAAGCAGAATGAACGGAGGTGTTGGAGAAGAAACTTTTGTTAGGTACTAGTTTGAATTTATTCACAGCTTACATTTATTGATGTATGTTAGGTACTGGGCACTGTGTTTTATACGTACTGTCTCATTTAATTTTAATAACTCTTGAGGTAGCTACTACTATTCCTATTTTCACACGTGAGTAAATTGAGGCATGAGTAGATTAAGTAACTTGCTAGACTTTATACAACTAGCAAGTCCAGCACTAAAATTCATTCCTAAGTACCCCAGTCATAGGGCTGACTCTCTTGAAGTGTTTAGTGTACTGCCCCTCATAACTTTAGATGTTTCTGATCTTCAGGGGCCTCCTCAGATTTTGTCTCAGAACAAATATGCCATATGAATTGTTCCTTTTGTCACCTGCTTAAATATTGTGGTGCAAGATTCCTTGCTTTCTTTTCTAGGTGGAAGGTTAGCTGTTTATCTAGATCCAATGTCTGTGAGAAACTTTTGAAAACACCTATCTGCTCCCTACCTTCAAAACATTTTAAAATATAGATTGACCCTACCCTACCTTTTTGAAACTAATTTCCTCCATTTTCCCAAATTTACTATAAATTTTAACTACATAGTGCTATTCCCTTTTTCCCAAACAATTAAACTTTTTCAAATTTAGGTGCTGGGGTACAGCCTTTTTCCTCTTCTGGAATGTGCTATTCCTTTCTTTTTTAGTTAAAATAACTCACCCTTCCTTGCCCATGACAGATATCCCCTTTCCCTGACCTGCCTTTCTTTACAGTTCCCTCTTTCTTTCTCAGTGCTTAGAGCATTTGATTGTGTTAGACTCGAAGCTCTACGAAGGCAGGGACTGCTGTATCCCCAGCGTAGTGTCAGGCATACTGCAGGCTCTAATTACTCTTTGCAACTCTTACCACAGTTCATTTAGTTATATGTTCATAGGTCTCTCTTCCAGTTAGATTTTAAGCTTTTTAAGTATAGTGACTAAGTCATATATTTTTTTCCCCCATACCTGGTTCATTTTCTAGAACAGCTTTGGTGCCAAATAACTGTTTTTTGAATTGAATGTTTATTTGGATTCAAGATAAGGGAGGGGGAAAGTGTTGGGGCAGCCACTTTGTGGTACAACCACTAGTCCCTGTTGAGGTAGTCTCCTTGGACAGGATTATAGCTTTAATATTTCTAATATCAAATTTGTATTGGGAATTCTACTGAAAACTCTGAAATTTTTAACTGATGAAATGACTAAGATATGACCTCAAGACTTCAATATCTTATGCAAGTATTATAAAAATATTAGTCAATGTATGATTAACAGCATGATTCTTGTCAAAGATATTACTACTTTTCTTTCAGCTACAATGAGCTTCTGTTTATTATTGACACTTGTCAAGGAGCATCCATGTATGAACGATTTTATTCTCCTAACATAATGGCTTTAGCTAGTAGCCAAGTGGGAGAAGATTCACTCTCGGTAGGTGCATTTTTCCCATTTGTGAACTGCATTGTCTTTGGAATATGTATCTATTTTGGAAATCACTTGTATGTTATATGAATATATCTGGGACTTTTTTTTTAGTCTCAGACTTTTTAACACCTCAGAAGGAAATTTTATTGCTTTTAAAACATTTTCTTATAATGATATGATCAGACATATACTTCTTTTTTCTGCTTTGCTTTTTTAAAAAAAAAATTATTGCTATATAATTGATGTACAATATAATGTTAGTTTCAGGTATATAATATAATGATTCAATATTTGTATATATTGTAATCACTAGAGTAAATCTAGTTAACATATGTCATAATACCAAAAAAAAAAAAATCCCAAAACAGATCACTGTACATACAGAACTTTTTTTCTTGTGATAAGAACTTGTAAGATTTACTTTCTTAGCAACTTTTAAATATCCAGTACAGTGTTATTAACTATAGTCACCATGCTCTACATTATATCTCATGTCTTATTTAATTTATAACTGAAGTTTGTCCCTTTGGCTCCCTTCAGCCATTTGGTTTTAACCCATGTCTCATCTCTGGCAACCACCAGTCTGTTCTCTATATCTATAAGGTTTTTGTTCTTGTTATCGTTTTTAGATTACATGTATAAGTGAGATCATATGGCATTTGTCTTTCTCTGATGTAGTTCATTTAGTATAATGCCCTCAAGATCCATCCATGTTGCCATAAATGGCAAGATTTCATTTTTTTATGGCTTAATAATAAGCCATTGTATATGCTTTGCTTATTCATAGCATCAACCTGATCCTGCAATTGGAGTACACCTTATGGATAGATATACCTTTTATGTCTTGGAATTTTTGGAAGAAATTAATCCGGCTAGTCAGACTAATATGAATGACCTTGTAAGTATTTGCTTGATTTGCATATAGCACATAGGTATGCCTAATGTGGTAAGTGAAGCCCTTTACTCCCTGTATTCCCAGGGTACTGTTTCATGTGTTGAATGGTAGCCTCTTAAATGGTTTTGAATTTCCCTGTACAGCAGTATGTCTGCTGGGGGCCTGTGAAGCTTTAGCCCAGCTAACTTGCTCTTCCTTGAGGTACTTTCCTGTTTTCATTCATTTTCTCATGCTCTCTTCTCTAACAGAAAGGTCATTTTTTTTAGATTCACTTATTGAAATTCTGCCTATTCTTTGGGAATCCAATCAGATCCTTCTTCCTTCAGGAAATAGCCCCATAGTTCTTCCCTGTTGGAATTTAAGTAAGATAAATAAAGTTTTTCAGACACTTGTTTCTCTTTTGTACCATTTATCATAGTCTGTCTTTGTTTGAACTTATTGAGTGTAATAGGATGTTCTTGGAAGAAAGGAGTTTTCTCTTACATGTTTGTGTCCTCCCTACAACTTCTAGTTCAGTGTTTTGATGTGGCTTCTCAAATTTAGTTCAACCTTTTTTCCTGACTTTTCTGTACTGATTTTACTTTTAAATTAGTTCTACTTTGAAGTTGCTCTTGAAAGTAAGCATTATAAAAAGCTTGATAAAAGAATTCTAGCCTAGATAATTACCGTGCATCACTGACTTTCACTCTTTTTTCATTAATTTATAACTTGTACTTTTATTTGCAAACATTTTTTGAGTTTTGGCTAAGTGCCAGCCACTGGCTCTATCCTAGTGAAAGAGGCAGACACTGTCCCAGGGAGAATGAAAGGGAGCCCACCTAGATGGGGCTTACAGTGTAGGTAATTTTATTTTAATTAAAGAAGTTCGGAGCTCCTGGGTGGCTCAGTTGGTTGAGTGTCTGACTCTTGATTTCGGCTCAGGTCATGATTGCAGGGTCATGGGATCGAGCCCCGCATCAGGCTCTGAGTTGAGTATGGAGCCTGCTTAGGATTCTCTCTCACTCCCTCTGCCCCTTCTCCCACTCATACATGGTCTCTCTCTCTAAAATAAAAAATAGTTCTGCAAAATTCTGAAAACTTATGAGCTATCATATTTGATAACATAGACCTATATCTTACATTTTGAAGGCTGTATATTTTAATGCCTGTTATATCTTAATATGAATTTGGAAATTAAAACAAAACTTATTATAATACTACTTTATAAGAAAACTCTATTTGCCTACATTCTAGTTACTATAGTGGTTAAGTTTATTCCCATTTTTAATTATACATTTTATATTTTATGTAGTATGTGACACACTGTCTCAAAAGTTTACCGTATATGCACTTCACACTTCAAATAGATGTCTAATGGATTTAAAAAAATAATAAATTTTTCCATTGAAATCATATAGGAAAGACTGAAGAAACTCATGTTTTGTTTGTATGTATATTGTTTGTGTGTATATTTTTGCCTACAGTTGATGTAGGGTTTTTAAAAAACATTCCTCACTAATATCTTGTTCCCTACATCCATTTAATTTTTTAATCTTGTTCAGTACGAATCATTCATTTCCCTGAAGTTAAATGTTACAGTCAATTGACATATCATTAGATGTTGTGGATTAATACCTATTCTGTTGGATTATGTGTGTATAGAAAAATTTGTTGGGTATCAGCTGTATTCAGAGTGTACTATATTAGGTGCTTCAGGAGCAGTAAAATGAGAAGATGTGGCGCTTAGCCCCTTAAAAATTTATAGTGTTATTGGTAACTGTTGTAAAGCACATTTATGGTGTGTCACCTATTCTGTGAAGTCTCTGGATCCTCCAGGTAATCTTCTTTCCTCTGTGAACATATAACTCTTGCTATGTACCTTTAAGATACTTTTGGTCTTAATATTTCTCTGTAATTGTTTATATTTGTGACGTTCCCTCGAGGCTTTCAGCTTCCTAAATAGGAAGTATAAGAACCATGCTTCATGCATCTTACTACCCCCAGAACTTAATTATAGTACCTAGTGTATAGATTTGCAGTGAGTGTTTTGAATTAATGAAAGTATATAGCAACAATGCACATTTGTACGGTTCCTTTAAATCTAGTGGGATTGGTGACTAAAATTTTTCTTGGAAGAGATAGATTTTCAGGTTTGGGAGCAGAGAAGTGCATACTCTAGGAAAATGCAGTATCTGCAGAGACACAGAAGCTGGAATATTTCATCGTCCTTGTCTTTGACAGTCATATAATCTGGTTAGAGTTTGGAGATTCTAGTAAGTGAAGGGGATTATGAAAAATGAATGTTGCTAAGGCTAAGGAAACCAGAATGATATGATAAAATATTCTTGAAGGAAGGAATAATTTCACAGAAAGTGAAGTGCTATGATTTTTAGCAGCAAAGAAGATAACTACATTTTATCTTGTTCCCCAGGCTCATTCCACTGTGTTTTTTTCTGCTTTCTTCTGCTGGTACTTAATAAAGCCCACCAAGATGCTCATACAGGAATGTCTTCAGTATACATAGGGCTTCAATCTTAGTTTATATTGTTTTACTTTGTTTCTTCAGCCTTTCATCTGCATTGTCCATCTGGTTTGGCATTATACTTTCTCGTAACATAAATTTGGCATTTTACTTTTCCCATCATTTTGTTTCCACTGCTTCTTAATATATATCCTGATCTCTTCTTTGTATTTCTTTTTATTGCTTTCCTGAACCAGGAAGGCATTGTGATGTTAGGCAAATTACTTAACCTTTTTCAACTGTAGTTTAAAGTAGAGATAATAATCTTGATATACCTCAAGGTTATTGTTAGGCTTAAATGAGAATATCTACAAATTGCTTAGCACAGTGCTTGGATCACTATGTTTCATAAATTCTAGCTGCTCTGCCCTTCCCCACCTATATCACATCATATTGGTAATTAATATGGTCTTGTCTCCACACGTGGGCAAATGCTGGGGCCCAAGGCCCTTACCAGCAGACCTGTCATGGTTTTCTTTATACGCCCTGTGCTTCTGCCCAACTACACATCTTTGCAGCTACTCCTTTAGTAAGAGTGTTATTTCCCATAGCTTCTCAGCTTTTCAGCTAAGATCAAGTGTAATATTTGTTTTTAGCAGTTTAGTATCTGATATATCCTCTATCCGAGAACAATATATTAAATGGAATTTTGGAGCAAGGAGATGGAACAAGAGCTTGCTCCATCCACTGCACTCATTGACCTGGTACTGTAGTACAGGAATGGTACACCTTCTCAGGGGAACAGTAGGGGTGAAAATGGTGGGCTGGTGCTGGGACAGGAGCCCCACGCCGGCACAGAAGCTAAGTAGCCAGGCTCTAGTGTCCTTGGCATGAGTACCTAAGGGCTCCCTTCTACATGTGTGTACTGTCACAGATCGGCTGGCCGATGTGTGCGTGGCCATCAGGACCAGTCTCACCACACTCCATCCACCACAGGACAGTTCTGGCCTCCTCTCTCCCCACTCGCGCCTCCATCTCTTTGTGTCACCACCCCCACAAAAGAATGTTATTTCCCATCTATAATCTACCTTTTCCTTCAGAAAATAGCTTAAATCCCACTCCCTCTTTTTTCTTATCCTCAAACCATAAAAAGTTTATCCTTTTCTGAAGCAGAACCTGTCACCTTTTTTTTTACTTTTTTACTTTTTTTTACTTTTTTTTACTTTATTCTTTGGAGCAGTAGAGTGTCTGGATGTACCTTGGGCTTATTTTCATTGTGGATAAACTAAGAAAGTTACTTAATTTATAGAATATATACAGAGCAGAAGAACAAGGGACCTTGGATGGGGGGAGGCAGGGAGTGGCTGTGCTTCACCTTCCGGAGCAGCTCTGCTTTCATCTTTTATATTTTGGGTTACTGGGTAGTATTTTATTTGAATTTAAAGTGTTGTTTTTTGTTTTTTTTTAAATGAAACATCATGATTATTAAGTGTTTAAAAGACCATGCCAGGGGTTCCTGGATGGCTTAGTCAGTTGAGTGTCCAAATCTTGATTTTGGCTCAAATCATGATCCCAGGGTCATGGGATCAAGCCCCATGTCAGTGTACAAGCTGAGCATGGAGCCTGCTTAAGATTTTCTCTCTCTCCCTCTCTCTCTCCCTCTGCCCCTCTTCCTTACTTGTACTCTTTCTCTTTCTCTAAAATAAAAATAAATAAATAAATAAAAGCATTCTGGCAGAGCACTCCACTGAGATGAATGTAGTTGCAGAAAAAAAGTAATTTTTGTTGTAGTGTGACATGTGAGTTCTCAGTAAATTTCAGGTCCAAAATATATTTTGTAGCATATGATTCAAAAAAACTGAGTGTTTTTTCCCTCCTTAGCCAGTTTCCCTTTTTATTACCTGTTAATGTCTGTATATCTTCTTAAAATGTCATGTACTACCATAGCAATGAAACTTTAATCTTTAGAATCTGTAGCTTATTTAGGTGGGGAGAGCTTTAAAAGTACAGTATAGTCTACTATACTGTGTTATTGATTTAATAAAAGTTGTGGGGCGCCTGGGTGGCTCAGTCGGTTAAGTGTCCGACTTCAGCTCAGGTCATGATCTCGCAGTTCGTGGGTTCGAGCCCCGCATCGGGCTCTGTGCTGACGCTCAGAGGCTGGAGCCTGCTTCAGATTCTGTGTCTCCCTCTCTCTCTGGCCCTCCCCCACTCATCCTCTGTCTCTCTCTGTCTCAAAAATAAATAAACTATAAAAAAAATTTTTTTTTAAAGTTGTATGTGTGTGTTTATTATTGTTATATATATTTTTTTCAGTTTCAGGTCTGCCCCAAAAGTCTGTGTGTATCTACCCCTGGACATCGCACTGATCTTTTTCAGAGGGATCCTAAAAATGTCCTGATAACTGATTTTTTTGGAAGTGTGCGGAAAGTGGAAATTACAACAGAGACTCTTCATTTGCAACCACATTTAGAAATCATGGAAAGCAGGTATTCATCTTGAATTATTATTTTATTAGAATATACTAGTCTCACAATTCATAAATTTTTATGTAACACTCTATTACATAAATAATATTAAGAGATGTAACTCAGTGTTTGTAAATAAACTACACATTTCTACCCCGTCTTCACTTTATGTAGGCCCTATACTTTCCAGGTTTATGAGCAGAAGCTATCAATATTAGGGGAAAGCTGAGATCATGATTAGGATTATGTTGTTAGCTTCAAAATGCAATGTTGATGATAGTGATTTGAGACTTGCTCAAAAGGACTAAAACTTTCCTTGTAACTGACTTTCTTGGAGCCATTACTTTTCATTAGTGGAGGTGTGCATAATGGTTCAGAAAACCTTCAAGAAAAGGCAGTTATGTGAATATTTCAGACACTAATACTCTAATGAGTGTGTATGCTTTCACCTGTTGGCAATAGAAAGTGTTTGTTACATGATGTGACACTGAATAGGGAAGTTGGCAGCTGGGTGTAATAAGGGCCCTGGGAATCTGGCAGATCTAAGGCAGATGAACATAAAAAGGGGAAGCTAGTGCCAAAAGAATATAGGTGCCAAATATAAACTTTAAACAATAACCTCCATGTTCAGAACTTCTTTGGGTTTCAGCAATCTGGCTACTTCTCTCTCTGCCATGTATTTTGATCCCTAGAGTCTGGGTGGTTTGTGAGCCTTGTTCAGTGGTATCTCTGGTTTTTCTCTAGTGTTAGTTACATTATGTTAACCTGAAACAATTTATCTGGAGCTATTGTAAATTTGGAGGGACCCTCTCATCAACAGATGCTATGGTTTCGGATTTATTTGGAGGCTCTTGGTAATTCATTAGGGAAAGGAATGAGAGAGGTATATACACCCTCTCTTGGGGAGTAGATGGTGTGTGAGTGTGCGGTGAGTATGCATGCCTGCACAAAACCAACAGGGGAGAGGGAGATTGAGAGAAATTGGTTGACTTACAGTATGTGACCTTTAGAAATATTTATAATGTTTCATTTATTTTTTTCCCCTGTAAACAGTTTTAAAGGAAAAATGCTTTGTTAGGATTAAATAATGTCTCAGTTAGTAACCATTTCTTGAAATATATAGATATATTTTACTAGGCATTTAACTTTGTTATTTGTGATTGTCTAATGCAATCATTGGAAACTCATACTTCTGGCAACTTTTCTGGATTACTAACTGGCAACATAGATTACTCTCAATTTTGAAAATTTCAAAGACTTATAATTGAGCTTACAGGTGTTTTAGGAATAAGTTTAAAAACTAGTACAAAATGCATGTTTTTTGAAGATTGAAAATTGATACTATTATTGTTTCCTATGTTGGATATTCAAAACCTTGGATCTTTCCAATTTCCTATAGCTATTGGCTTAAAAATATTTTTAAAGATATCAGATGATATTCTACAGCAATATCATTTGTATTTGTTATTTTATTTTTTTAATGCTTATTTAGAGAGACAGAGAGAGCATGCAGAGGAGGGGCAGAGAGAGAGGGAGAATCCGAAGTAGACTCTTTACTGTCAGCACAGAGCCCGATACAGGGTTTGAACTCATGAACTGTGAGATCATGACCTGAGCTGAAACCAAGAGTTGAACGTTTAACCGACCGAGCCACCCAGGTGCCCCTAATTTTAAATACTGAATTTCGATTACCTTTGTAAAACAGCTAGATTATATATATATATTACAAATAGTTTATTGTCAAGTTGGTTTCCATATAACACCCTAAATTATATTTTAATACTTAGCAACTAAAATTGAAATGTCTTTTACCAAATTCATTTTGTAATTTTCCTTGAATTTAAGCCTATTAAATTATAAGATATACCTTCTCTTAACCATCTCATCATTGCATTAATTCTTTTTAAAGGCAAAGATCATCTTTATACTTTTTCCTTCACTAATTTTCGACTCTCTCTCTCCACTTAACACAATATTAAATATGCAGTTGAGTATACAATAAAAAATGATTTCAGTGGAATCTACTAAGTCTCATTATATGTTTTGGAAGAATGGAATTTTGTCTTATAAGTTATCTCCGTGTATTAGTTCAAGAGCAGAAATTGTTGGCACTGAAAATTATCTTAATGTATCTTTAATCAAGGAGAAAATTTTGAGCCTCAAAGCCAGGCACCAGGCATTGCTGAATTACAGCACCCTCTAGTGTTTATAAATAAATTTTATTTAGAATATTATGTACAAATGGTTTCATGATTATTGGTATATGTTATCCAATTAGGAGAATTAAGTTTCCAACATGCTTCAGGAATTTTGAAATGGATGCTACAAATATTATCTCATTGTATGTAGGTAGTATTTGCATAAATATGAATGTAATCAGATATTTGTTTAGAGAAAAGTATATTCATGAGAGGTCAGATATCACAAAAAATATTTTATTAAGGAGATGATGAGTTAGGATGTATATGTATTTTTTTCATATCTTGGGTTAAAAATATCAATATAGTCACTGTTAATTAAAGCTGGCAGTTTTGCTTTTAAAATATTACTTCTACATATGTTAGGGAAACAACAGAATTGATTCATTCAGACAATTCATATTTCATATTTTGCATACAAGAGTATACTAGACTAAACTCAGATATGATGGAGAACCTTAACACATAAAATTTGCTGAAGTATCTGTATGAAATTTTTGTTATTGTCTTCTGAAACAGATATTGAGTAAGGTACAGTTATAAAGTTAGTAACAACACCTTGTTTCTGCATGTGTCTTAGTAATTGTGTGATTAAATTATTTGTATGAACAAATGATATAAAATAAGGATTGACTGCAGTAAGTTTGGCGTCTGTAACTTGATTCTAAACTGCTTCACCTGTGTATACACAGGCTTACCTTTGAGGAGTATGTAGACAGTAGCCTGCCCTCCCGAAAGATTGGGCTTTTTAGAATCTAGTAATAATAAGTATTATTCAGAATACCTGGTTTGTGTCCTTACCATAAAGGAAAATAGTCTCCAGCTTGTGGATGTCAAAAGATAGGCATGTTTTAGTGTTACAAAACACAGAAGTTCTAAACTCAGTCAGCCTTGACCAAGAAAAAATGGAATCCAGGACAGTATTAACTGTAAATGCTCATCTTTTATCCTGGTTAGTTAGGTGAAAACTCACCTAGCCTGACTTTTGCTTTAGGCCTTAAATTTAGGCGCTGGATTCTATTTGCGAATGCTATTTTGTTGTAATTTTATTCTATTATATTAGAACTTCTTTCTTTTTTGAAGCAATCTTTAGCAATTGAAATTTTTTGAGTATAGCAGGAAATTTGAGACAGGACTGTTTTCTTACAGATTCCTTACAGACCTCCAACAGAAATAAGACATAGCCTCCCCAAGGTCAGTCTGTGTTTTGAACACCAGAGTAGGCCTCTTCCAAGGGCTCGTTAAGGAAGTCCCCACCTCACGTAGATCAAAGTTTAGACAGCTGCTGCCATAGTCATCATATTTTAAGCCCTTTCTATGTGCTTGATGCTTTATATGATCACATTAGCTAGGACTATTGAGTTGTAATAATAGAATCCAACCTGAGCTACATTTTTTAAGGACATTTGTTATACAGATATTCTGTGTTTTATGGAACCAAAAGACTGACCCCAGAAAGGGAGTGGAAACAGGAACCAGATATCAGTCAGAAACACAGGCAACGCTCTCTCCATCTCCCCGTTGTTTCAGTCTTTTCTCTGCTGCTCTGGCCAGGTAGGGGATAACGTGTGTACACCACTGCTCTGGAGATTTATATCTGTTCTGTTGGTGATAATGCCCAGACAGAGAATGAACTTGCTCATTCCCAATTCTAAGCTCCCCAGAGGGCTTCATGATTAGCCCAGCTTGGGTCAGGTATTCACCCTTGGTCGAGCTGGGCAGTAGTGGGGTCGTATAACACAAAATCATGGCTGCTTGGGAGACCACCTCATGTTTATAAGATGAACCCCAAAAAAGGGTCTTGAGAGCTAGGTAGATATCCTGAAGAGTGTTTATCTTAATCTCTTTTTAACCCACATGATAACTTCATGAGGCTATGATTTACGTTAGGTTTCAAGTATAGTGTAAGTAGGGATTGAGGTTCATTTTTTCCCGTATGGATATCTAGTTATTCCAGCACTGTGTATTGAAGAGATTGAATCTGGGGCACCTGGATGGCTCAGTCAGTTAAGCATCTGACTTCAGCACAGGTCGTGATCTCATAGTTTGTGGGTTCGAGCACTGCGTCGGGCTCTGTGCTGACAGCCAGCTCAGAGCCTGGAGCCTGTTTCAGATGCTGTATCTCCCTCTCTCTCTGACCCTCCCCTGCTCACTCTGTCTCTCTCTCTCTCATAAATAAATAAAACGTTAAAAAAAATTAAAAGATTGAATCTTTTTTTTGTTTGTTTGTGTGTTTGTTTTTTATTTATTTTTGAGACAGAGACAGACAGAGCATGAGTTGGGGAGGGGCAGAGAGAGCGCGAAATACAGAATCTGAAACAGGCTCCAGGTTCTGAGCTGGCTGTCAGCACAGAGCCCGATGCAGGGCTCGAACCCACAACCGTGAGATCATGACCTGAGCCGAAGCTGGATGCTTAACCAACTGAGCCACCCAGGTGCCCCAAGTGAATCCTTATTGGATTATGTTGGCACTTTCGTAAAAAATTACATGACCACCATGTATGTGGGTCTATGTCTAGACTCTGTTCTGTTGTGTTGAGCTATATCTCTGTTAACACCAGCATTATATACTATGTTGATTATTTTAGCTTTATGGTAAGTTTTGACATTAGTTTGTATAAACCCTACAAATCAGTTTTTCAAGGTTATTTTGACTATTCTAGATCCTTTGTGTTTCCATATAAACTTTAGAATCAGTTTGTCAATTTCTAAAAACAAAACAAAATTTTAAAAGCCTGCTGAGATTTGAGAATGAGATTGGATTGACCCTATATTAATTTGATGAGCATGGATACCTTAAAAATATTGAATCCTCTGGTCCAT